CGCGAAACTACAACAGCGGATCGCTTCTGATTGGTTACGCGGTTACGTGATACGCGGTAAATACACCTCATGGGACTCCACCCTTATTTTCAGCATCAAGACTTTTGTTCGCGTTGCTTGAAGTCTTCAAAAATGTTTGCACTTAAAATAAGATAAATATATATATTCGCGCGTCGAAGAGAAAGAAAACGATGATGTTTAGTGCAAAAACAACGCGAACAGACCTTAATCCTGCTGGATTCACACTGCATCCGATTTTCGTCATACGATGCTCTGCAACCAATCAGAATACAGGATTCCGATGATACGAAGCAAAATTCATCGGAATCCTGTTTTCTGATTGGTTGCAGAACGTCGTACTACGCAAATCGGATGCAGTGTGAATCCAGCATAACGTTTCGTTGTATTCCGTGACCGAAGCCCGAGTCCAACCGAGGCGTGTCGAACGTAGCCGAACAAATCGCCAACCGTAACTACGGCAAGTAGAGAGATGGAAAATTGAGAGACACGTAAAACATGGCGGAGGCCGTTGTGGATGGAAGTCCGATGTCTCGGTTTTTTTGCCACAAATGCAGCGTCGAAATCGAGCGTCTGCTGCCGGTAAGTGCGCCGTGACGTTCCTCGTCGTCTTGGGCCACTCGTTCATACCGCGCGACGCGGAATTGTCGCGGTGATACGTCCATCCCCGATATAACTGTCACTCCATATCATGCGAAATTTCTGTCTCTTCTCTTTCCCCCCTCATCCCCCGCAATAAACGTAGCTTGCCCAATTCTCTTCCACATCGAACGGCGAGGTCAACGATAACGCTCGTTAACTTCCTCGCAGCTTCGCGATTTCTCGAAACCTTGACGGCATTCGCACGGTCGAATCGCGTTTGTACACGTTTATGTCTGTCGTGAACTCTCCCTTCCCCCTCCGCAGGAAGCATGCTACGCACGTTCTCGCGATCGTTGTTCCCGATGGAACTTCTCCGATGAAATTTCGCCGTGAGAAGGCGTGTTTTGATCAGGCTGCGGTAGGCAAGGACGTTCATCGACGACCTCGACTATTTTGGAATTCTCGCCTGATTAATCTGGCTCTTTGTACGAAATTAGTAAGAGCATAAATATGCACCAATCTACCTTTTTTTCTCTTGTTTCATATTGTACTTTTTGTTTTACTTGGAATGAGATAATTATATCCTTGCGTTCTAGAAGGAGAAAAATATATACATGTTACTTTGTTTATCTCATTGTCTTTCTAAAGTATTTCTGAAGTGTGCAGAGATATATTGCTGTCTCATGATTAATATTATTATTATTGTTCATAGACATTTGGCTGCATTCGGTAGAAGAAACTGATTATTGCTTAGTGATTCTTTAATATGATTGGTTATTGTCTTTAATTCTTTGTTAAAGCTAAGTGTAAGAACCAATCGTATTGAAGAATTATTAAGACCGCTATTTTATTTGTGCGGTTCTATCATATGACACAGACTTTTTAAAGCCTGTTGGTTGGCTATAAGATAGAGAGATCCAAGGACCTCTTTGTCCTATATACATTTGTCATGTGACAAAAACGCACAAATGAAATAACACCCTAAGAGCTAACTGATTAATTTTTTCTCTGTTGAACGCAGCTAACAACTCTGGACTGACCAAGTTAGACTTTGAAGGCACAGTTGATATTTTGATTGTGAATTCTAGTAGATAAATTCGAATCTGTAAAAAATAAGTAAAATACAATTTGATTTTTATGACTAAAAACTTGTTAAAGCTTTTGCAAGTATTTCACAAATTTTTATAAGTTTTTGTAAGTGCTTATTCAGACTTACACAGTTTGGAATGATATAAAAATATTTGGAGTTTAAAGAGCCAGGTTGCTAATGGAAGGTATGAATTCCACATGGCCGATGGAGGGTTACAACAAATTCAGTCTTGTATACTAAATTAGTGCATATTAAAAGCTGTTGTGAAATTAGCGACGTTAATGTAAAAGCGTATAAATATTTTAAATGATCAAATACTCAATAATGATATTGTCATGTTACTTAACAATATATATGCATTACTTCATTGTCAAAGTTTATTACATTATGCTTCGGCATTTAAATACTGTATGTAAAGCAGCCTTTAATGTGCTAATCCAGTATAGTGCTAAATTTACTATTAATAAGTGTGTAAGAGATCCTAAATAAAGTTAATACTTCATGTGTTGTACAACAAATCTTTTCAAGCCTGTTGATTAGCTGCAGGAAAAAAGACTTTCAGATCTTTTTGTTATTTTGATTCTATAACTAATCAATGGACTTAAAAAGTTTGTTATACAATACATGGAGTCTAATACGTGGTGCTTTGCAACAAGAAACTTAGCGTAACACAATGATCATTTCATCTTTGTTTAACATTGGCAAACAAAAAAGTAAAAATTCGCTGTATTACACTGTCATCTGTGTCTTTTGCTGGAAAGCATCCATAAAGTCCAAAATCGGAATATAAGACGTTTTATAATGTCTTTTAAACAGTTGACACAAAAAGTCTTAAGACTTGTCCCGAATATGGACTTTGGTTTTGTGGGATATATTCATTCTGCATATATATTTAACTCGGCTTCATTGTGGTGTTAAAATGTTACACGGATGTTGAGGTGAATCATGATAACCCGAATATTTTTTTGGTTCTATTTTCGCAATGTCAACAATAGTTTTAGAAAGTCTTAGCTCCAGCTACAGGGCGGTTAGTTAAAATCTACGAAAATATAAATGTTTAAAAATGTCTCGGGTCATTATGACCCAGCCACAATGATGCTGGGTTAATTCGTAAGTGTCTAACTAATACGAGCATGTACATATGTCCCAGGCAATCTGTCAAAGACAGACTTTGCAATCTACATTGCGTAACTCAGCCTCCCCTGACATTTCACTTCCAATTAGAATTATACGTGTCCACGATGCGCGAGCGGTTTCATAGAAGAGCTGGAGAGCAGCAGCAACGAGGGCAGCTCAGGCATGGATATGAACAGCGAAGAACTGAGCGATGGGGATATCGACATCTTGACCTTGAACGTAAGTTTCAATTTAATTAAGCCAAGGATTATTGATAAATCATCAGAAATGTATAAACTCTACATCCATTTGGTACAACCTTCACAGCGCTCCGACCGTGATCGTGATATAATAGAGATGATAATGGGTCTCTCGAATACATATACCAATCAACAGTTGAACACCAGTCAACAGCCCAGTGGAGGCAATAGGAACTATGTGCTCGGTAGCAGAAGGAGGTCCAATTGGTCTCGTACCCCTCAAGATGGACGTCGTACCAGCAGGTATCTTTCCTGTCCAAACTGTCGCACACTGATGGCTACGTTTAACAGAAAAAAAGCAGCTTTGCAATTGTAATATTTAATATAATTGATTTATATTAAATATTACAATTGCAAAGCTGCTTTTTACATTTAGATTCAGTGAGGAACTGGATCTAAATATATATAGGGCAAGATCAATCATATTAAAGAATTTTACAAGAGTTGTAAAGTTGCCTCTATTGAACACAGCCATTATTTTCAACTATTGGAAATTTTCTTTGCTAAGATAGGATATCCCCCAGATCTAAAAATATAATCCAATCAGTGAGAAGAAAACTGTCAACAGTTGCAAAATAAACGTTTTACTGAATGCGTCCATTGATGTAGTGATGCAGTTTTCAAAGATTGCTGGATAATTGAATTCACCTGTTTGAGTGTTTGACATTAAATTTGACAAATGGTGCATTTGGTCCCTTCTTTCATCTTTGTAAAATTACATATTTATTTTAATAAACAATGTCCCGTATGATACTTGAAAAATTGGTAAGGTAATGATTTCATTTTTTTTTTATATGAAATAGCAATCGTAGAAGACAAGAGAGCCTACAGATGCCTATAGAGAATTTCATACAAGATTTTATCTTCAATCTTTCGGGAGCAGCGAGTCTAAGCAACTCTGTGGGTCAAGATGCACAGCCATCTGTGTAAGTTGTTTTACATGATAAATACTGCTTGTGATATTAGCCTGTATAATTATAAAATCAAGATGCGTTATATTTCTCTCTATCATAATAGATCGATATTTATAGCATTTTAAATTTACATGTTCTCAAGAAACATTTTTTCATTTTACTTTCATTTTTTCATTTTCATATTATTGTAATTATTTAAATTTTTACATTTTGATCCTGTTTTTTTTTCTCATATATGCATTTACATAAAACCCCACATGAATTGTCATCAATTGTAAACATGCTTTTCCAACAGTGATGGCAACAGTAAATATTTAAAAAGTTCATTCATCCGTGGGGGTACAAGTCATTAAACAATTTTATTTAATCTTTAGTATTACTAAAATAAAACAAAATAATGTAGATTCAATGTTAGACTGTTCTTGGGAAATCCTGGAGATTATGTTTGGGGTCGTGATGGATTAGACGCTATTGTTACCCAATTATTGAATCAAATGGATGGTACTGGACCACCACCATTATCACGCAATCAGATCGATGAGATTCCTACTACTACTATAACGCAAAGTCAAGTTGGTTAGTACCCAATAATATATATTGACGTGTAGTTTGCGATATCTATGTACATCTATCATCTTTTAAGATCCTTATCATTTGGGAAGCAGAACGACGACATGCCAGATAATTTAAATAGTTGA